TCCTCTAGTATTTAGCAAATGTTCATAGTTAGTATACATGTACATGTTACCCTTTTGTTCAATTCCCCTCTTTCTTTTTCTAAAGATGTTTAACATTATTACATAATGATTTTATTTATTATAGGCAATAGGTAAAGATTTGGAAAGAGTGAGTGGTGCTTGGAGGAAAGGTTAGATTCCTAGCTGCCTCATCATGGCACTAGAGGTTCAACCACACTATTAACATCAGGAAAGGTTAGATTCTTAGCTGCCATTGTCATGGCACTAGCTAGAGGTTCAACCAGGTTAGATTCCTAGCTGCCACTTTATCTTGGCACTAGAGGTTCAACCATACTATGAGGAAAGGTTAGATTCCTAGATGCCATTATCATGGCACTAGAGGTTCAACCAGGTTAGATTCCTAGCTGCCACTTTGTTTTGGCACTAGAGGTTCAACCATGCAGAGTTAATTCCATTGAATCTCTACTACAGGAAAAGAAAAGTTAGTAAGCACTAAGCAGCATTATTTTTTAAACAAAAGTAATCACGTTATTTATGACTATCCTTGACATTATTATTCACATCTCACTTTTTATTGCATGTGTCATTTGTATGAAATAAACATGAATGACTCCTATATATATATATATTATATTTTATGCAGCTTGCGCATCAATGACAGACCAGGCTGACTTCAATACGGCAACAATTTATAATAATGATTATAGTATTATGCCATTCCTTTTCATCCTTAGGTTGTTGAGTGGGTGGTTGCGGTGGGGGGCCAGCTACCGCAGCATCACCTATTCGCGACGGTGCTGGCTATCATTCCAGCTCAAATCAATTGGGGATGCAAGAATGCTGCTTTCATTACTAATCATTTTCATTGATTGAATTTTATTAATTTCTACTTCATTTTTATTGAATTAAAAAAAACAATTTTAAAATTGAAATTTTTGATGAAATCATGTCATATATCATAGACAATAATACACATCAACAGTTTCATTCCTTTTTCTTCCTTTGTTTATCTCTTCCTTTACTCTTGCTCTTTCCTCCTCTTCTAACCTCACCCTTCTTTTAATGTCCACTTCTTCCTCTATCAACTTCTGTTTCTTCTTTTCTTCTCTTTCCCTCTTTCTCTCACGAACTTCAAAGTAATTTAGTCTCCTTCTAAGATATCGAACTTCATCTTCAAGACATTCAATCTTTTTCAGAGAATCTTCATATTTGTCTTTGTATAGTCTCAATTTTTCCTCTTTCTCTTCAATATCCTTTTTCAGTTGTTTACGAGCTTTTCTTAAATGTTTAGCATCTTTAACGAAGCTAATTTCATCAGAACTACAATCAGACTTATCACCCTCAGCCATCAACCAGAAACTGAAGATGTTTTCAAATGGGGGCAGTAACAAAGAAAGTCTGTTGAGTGATGAAAAAGAGGAGAACTGAAATACGAGCCAAACAAAGGAGATAAGTAGATAGATAAACGCGAGAAGATGATCCCATGATTAAAGAAGTGCGAATAAAGTGAGACACTAGGTACACATGAAACCTCATGCCTAAACTGCGCATGCTCAACAGAAGCCTTCCTTCACGTGATCTCAGTACTTCTCACTTCTTTAGTCACTCCAGATAGTGCCAGTCTCACTTCTTTTATCCTATGGGATTTCCTTTTCTCGCGTCTATCTATCTACTTATCACCTTTGTTTGGCTCTTATTTCAGTTTTCCTTACTCTCATATATGGCAGAAACCCAGTACAAACA